TCCTCCGTGATTTTTGCCAAAGGTTCGGCCTCCACCCATTTTGTGAAATAGTCTACCGCCACGATTAAGAACTTCCTCTGCCCAGTTCCTTGCGGCATCGGCCCCACCAGGCCAATCCCTCAATGGGCGAATGGTATAGGGGCACTCATAGTCGTCATCATTTCTGCCGGTTGGTGAATAAGCAGACCATGCTTCTGGCATTGTAAGCACTTCTTCACCATCATCTTCCCGTCCTCTTTCATCGTCGGCCAAAAGTATCCTGCCCTAAGAATTTTTGCAACCAAGGCTCCAGATTTGCTATGATCACTGCAGCATCCTTCATGCATTTCTCTCAATACACATCGACCTTCCTCTTTGGTTACGCAGCGTAAGTGCGGTCCAGCGTACGACCGCTTGTAAAGAATGCCTCCTTGCTCGAAAAATCTCTTCACCACATTTATCGCCCCCTCTTTCAGCTCCTTTAAGATCGGGGCTCTCCAATCCTCCACCTCTTCGATCTCTGCCATTTCCGCCTTGACCTCACTCCTCTCCAAGTGTAATAGAGTGACACTTCTACTCCGACAGCCCACCAAACTTTGAGTAATTTTCGCTAGCAAGTCTGCTCGACCATTCTCTCCTCGAGGGATCTGTATAAGCTCGAATGACTCAAACTCCTCCTTTAGTTTCTTCATCTCGTCTACAATATTTCTGCATTCGATCCTCCTTAACCTCAAATCCCTCCTGGAACTGCCCAACTACCTATTGGGAATCGGAATGTACCAGCACCTTTCGGGCTCTTCCTGCCATGGCTAACCGCAGGCCTTTGATCACCGCCTCATACTCAGCCTCATTATTAGATATTTTAAACCCCACTTTAGCCGCAAACTCCAAATTATCGCCCTTAGGAGAAACAAGGACAATTCCTAATCCAGCCACACTTCTGGCCACAGACACATCCGTGAATAACTGCCACACTCTTCCAGACTCCTCCTCGACCTTAGTGCCTTCTTGAATAAAATCTGCCAACACCTGCGCCTTTATGGCCCTCCTCGGCTCATACGATAAAGAGTATTCGCTCAGCTCAACTGTCCATTTTACTAATCGACCAGAGACCGATGGCCGGCCGAGTGTTTTCCCTAATGGCATGTTCGTTCGCACCTTCACTTTATGGTTCAAGAAATAAGGCCTCAGTTTTCGGGCAGTTACCACCACAGCTAAAGCACACTTCTCGATCTCCGAGTACCTCATCTCTGCTCCCTGCATCACCTTGCTTACGTAATAAATAGGGAACTGTGCTACTCCTACTTCTCGCAGCAACACCGAACTCACGGCCCTCTCTCCGATGGAAATATACAGCACCAATTCTTCACCTTGTACGGGTTTAGCCAATAGGGGAAGGATATCCAACACCCCTCTCAACTCATCAAACGACTTTTGCGCTTCTTCCGTCCACTGAAATTTCGAGCTCTTTTTCAGTGTTTTGAATAATGGGCCACTTTTCTCCGCCACATTCGATATGAAACGACTCAGCCCCGCGATTCGACCAGCTAAGATCTGCACTTCCTTAACATTCGTCGGCGGATTCATCTCCATTACGGCTCGAACCTTCTCAGGATTCACTTCAATACCTTGGTCACCAAGTAACCCAAGAATTTTCTCGACCTCACCCCGAAAGAGCACTTAGCTGGATTCAATTTCATCCCATACCTCCGCAATGTTGAGAACGTTTCTTTCAAGTCTCGCACATGATCCAACTCCTCCTTGCTCTTCACCAACATATCATCCACATACACCTCCATGTTCCTCCCCAGTTGCTCCTTAAAGATTTTATCGACCAACCTTTGATATGTGGCGCCTGCATTCTTTAGGCCGAACGGCATGACCACGTAACAATAGGTTCCTCGACTCGTTACAAAACTCACCTGCTTCCTGTCTTCTCTCGCCAAGGGAATTTGATGATATCCCTGGGAGGCATCCATCAGGCTCAGCAGTTCGCACCCCGTCGTTGAGTTGACCAGCTGGTCGATTCTGGGCAGTGGGTATAAGTCCTTTGGGCATGCTTTGTTCAGATCATGGAAATCAATGCATATCCTCCATTTTCCCTCCGCCTTCGACACCATCACTGTATTTGAAAACCATTCGGGGAACTGGATCTCCTTGATATGCCCTGCTCCCAATAGCTTCTCGACCTCCTTCTCAATGATTTTGTCCATCTCCGCCCCATGGTGCCTTCTTTTCTGCTTCACCGGCCTCACACTGAGGCCGATGTTCAGCCGATGCTCGATAACCTCCGCACTTACTCCCGTCAACTCCTCCGCTGTAGAGGCAAAAATGTCAGCGAACTCCCTAACCAGATCGATCAGCCTCGACCGAATAGGCTCCTCCAGGTCCTTCCCGATTCTGAATTTTCTCTCCTCACACCCCTCGATCATCTGAATCTCCTCAACTTCTCCCTCTGGCTGGATATCCATCTTCTCCTTACCCTTCTCCATCCTCTGTTTATCCTCTTTTGACCTCAACTTACCTGGTCGATTAACCTCCCCCTCCTTCGACTTGGCCTGCCTCTTCGCCAGTTGCTTGTTACTGCTCACCGTTGTTTGATAGCAGCTCCTCGAAGTGAGCTGATCCCCGGCAATCTCCCCTACGTTTTCGCCCACAGGATACTTGATCGTCATGTGGTATGTGGATACGACCGCCTGGAACGCATTCAAGCTCGTTCGCCCCATAATGATGTTATAAGATGATTCAGCTCCTACGACCACAAACCTCACTATGCGCCCCTTCCTCAGCTCTCCCGCTCCCAACGCCACTGGCAAACTTACCTCGCCCATCGGCACTACCTCTCCTCCATTGAAGCCATAAAGTGCCGTGGTCACCGGCTTCAGCTCCATATTCAACTCCTTATTAATTTGCACAAAACAGTCATAGAACATCACGTCTACCGAACTTCCGGTATAAATAAACACCCTCTTCACGTCAAAGCCTGCAACCTCTGCGGTTATCACCAAAGCATCGTTGTGCGGTAGGACCACTCCCTCGGCATCCTCCGCCTTAAAAATTATCACCGGCATACGAGCTGTAATCCCCACCTCCTCTCTTTTCCTCTTCACAGCTCGAGCATGCTCCTTCCTGGCCCTATTCGAGTCACCATCCGTTGGCCCTCCGGAAATCATGTAAATCGTCCCTCTCTTCATCGGGGTTTCTCCTCTGTGCCCTCCCTTATCGCCATCTCTCCTTGGATTCTTTTCTCGACCATCTCGACCATCTCCGTCGCCTCCTTCCTCGTCCCTGTCACTTCTTTTCTCCGAATCCTCCCGACACCTTCTCCTTCCTTTCCCTTTTGCTCTATCTCGATACACAAACTCTTTCAGGTACCCAGCTCGAATCAACCTCTCGATCTCATCCTTCAAATGTCTACAGTTCTCCGTGGTATGACCGTAATCTCGATGAAAATGGTAGTAAACATCCGACCTAGGTCGAATTGGGCCTGTAAACCTCGTCTTCGGCCAGGTCACATCCTCGCTCGACATCTTCTGCTCCATAGCCTTGAGCACCTCCGTCAAGTCCTTCCGCAAGGGTGTATAATTATGATACCTCTGTCTTTCGAACATCAATGGCCTCCTTTGCCACTCATCCCTCTTCTCCCGATTTGATTCTTTACCCTCTCTTCTCGGCGATGCCCTTTTCGGCCCACTCCTCTTGGGCGAACTTCTCCTGGGTGATCTCCCCCTTTGTGGGCTCTTTTCTTTCTTCGGCTCTAGTCGAGCTGCTCCTTCTGACTTTGCGAACTCTATTTCTATTTCCTCCAAATTAATATACTTCCTACAACGCTTCAAGACATCCTCATATGATCGAGCAGGGGTCTTTGCCAGGGAAGTTCGGCAAGGCCCTGCTCGAAGACTTCTTATCAGTCCTCCCGCCTTCACCTCATCTGAGGCCGAGTGTACCTCCAAACACGTCTGATTATATCGAGCAACATACTTCCTCAACGACTCCTTCTCCCCCTGTCTCATTGCCATCAAAGTCAAATACATTTTCTCCTGCGCCACTGCGCTCGAATATTGATTGGTAAGCTTGCTGGCGAAATCCTCAAAATCCGCAATCGACCCCGAGGGTAACTGATGAAACTAGTCAAGTGCTCCCCCACGCAAGGTCGATAGAAACGCCCTGCAACAAACAGAATCAGAATATCCATGTAACACAACCATATTTTCAAAGGTCCTCACATGCCTCGACGGGTCAGACGACCCATCATAGACCAAGTTGGTCTCCTTGAAATTATTCGGCAAAGGAGCAGCGAGAATCTCCCTCGAGAAGGGATGTCCTCGAGCTCTCCTCTCAGGCCTCCCCTCCACCTTGTCCTGTAACTGGCGCAACTGCTCCGCCATCCTCTCCATCGCCCGATCTCTTCCAACTCCTCCCTCTCCATAACTGGACACATCCTCATCTTGGTTTCCGGCCACCGTGGTCGGCGCAGTGGTGGCATGAGATGTGTGGCTCATAACTTGCTGCACCGCCTGCGCTGCCGCGGTCGCCGCTATCCTCTACATCTCGTCCCGGGTCATCGTCACCATTTTCTGACCGGGAGCTTGTACAACTACCTGTGGTGGCGCTCCCCCTTGCGCCATCGCTCCTCCTTGCACCAGTGCCGGATTTGGTGGCAGCGGCGGTGGCATCACCGCCGCGGCTGCTGCGCGAGCCTCTTGGGAGCGACTGGATCTGGCGTCTCCTCCGGGGACCGCCGTCGCCGCTCCCACACCCTGAAGGACGGGTGTAGGAGTGACCGGCGTTTGCAAAGGGCCAGAGAAACCCGGGGGAGGGCCTTTTCCAATCGGCCTGGTCGTCGTCTAAGTGTCGTCAAACGTCGGCTGCAAGTTAGTTCTGGGAATTCCGTCCGCCATAGCTGAGCTTCAAACACAACCTTTCGAACAAGAGTCCCACAGACGATGCCAATAATGCGGGTGTGAGCGTCCTGGCCCGGTTTGGGGTAGATCGGTTCTTGTCCTCGCCGGTAGAACGCCAGAAACCTGCAATTAACTCTCACACCGGGGGTTGTGTCCGATGAAGAGCCTCCAATTCTTAAGTCAGTATGTGTATGAGTATACTGAAGTGAATAATGGAAAAATCGTGTTAAGGGAGAAAGGCTCACCCCCTTTATATAGGGGTGAGATACCTGCCCTAATAGCTGCCCGGATAAGGATGAGTTGGCTACCCAAGCTGCCCGTCCATACTCTGACACGCCGCACACATGTCAAAGGTGGCGCGGGGCGTTGGGAGCTGTTAGAGGTGGTTATCGCTATCACCCAATATTTTCTCGACACGTGTTCTCCTGCACATGGGGTAAATATTCTCTTGGAATTCGGTTGGAGGCACTTACACGCGCCTGTGATAAGGCCGATCTATTAAGTATTGAGTCCGCGAGATGCTCGACCTGCTGAGGTCGATAAGGTTGATCGATAGCTTGTCTGGTCGAGCGATGGATTGGTCGACTGTTTGATTGGTCGATAAGTTGTTTTGCTCGATCTTGTCATTGCCTGGCTCGATTCCTCCATAGTATGACCCCTTAAACCGGTTCAGCAGACCGGTCTATCTCGGGGTATATAATATCCTATATCACCAGTGGATAAATTTGAAGATTTGCATCCTGACATGTCGCAATGAGTAAAGTACCACGATATCTCTCCGTTAAGAACGTCCCATCCACAGATATTACTCTTTTGATAGAAGAGCGGATTCCACGAATGCACTGCCCCAAAGCCATGAAAAAAAATTTAAATGACCGTCCTCACTTGTTTCGATGAAAGTGACCGTCCCAAGATTTGTTTGCTCCAAATAGTAACAATATGAAGGGAGCTTTGCGTAACTTTCTTCCGGGCAACCTCGAATGAGACCAAATCCATGATGCTTTGCCATAAATGCTTTTGTGTAGCTGATTGTTATCCCGAACTTCTCTTGGACATCAAAAATAATATCCCTCGGGTTATAAATCCGATTGACATCTTTATAGTTTTCGGAAATGTGCTTCCCAATCAGCTTATACGTCGCATGCCTGTGATCTTTACAACGCACAGTCATAGAGCAAGTGTGATTGTCGACATACTTACGTACCACAAAAATTTCACCACTATCTATCTTCACTGCTCTCAAAGGCCAAGGACAATGTCTTTCAATACAAGCAACAATATATAAGGTTTTCGTTGATTTTACCACTCGGAATTCAAAGTGGTACTTCACGGCCAACAACAAAATTTTATCTACCAAGTCCTTTTTGGTTGAGAAGATATTGTTACACTGCACGTCTTCATTCTCTGGGATCATCACGGAAGATGGACAATGGAGAGGACTCATAGAGCAGCTTGCATTCCCAACCATGGCATATTTTGTTGAAAAATTCTCACGAGCCTCTTCTATCAAAAAAGTGGTTGCTCTTTCATCTTCAACTTCAACATTTGTTTCCATAGGACTATCTTTATTCTCCACCATAATGTTCCATTGACCTTCGAGCGGCTCGGTAATTTCATTTTCCCACGTAAGTGTTTCGATCGCCTCTAAATTGTCATTGTTTGTTTCTTCTTCAACTTCAAGATTTTTTTCAACTTCAACATTGTTCATTTCTTCCTCAACAAGTTTTTCGACAAGTATTACGCAAAGAGGATGATCATCACAAATAGATATATACCATTTGACTGTGTCATCAGAATCGATCTTCACAGGGGGGACTGGAAGTTTCATCAATCTTGGGTTAAGTGATCGCAATTCTATTACGTGTGAGATGTTATCGAACTTTATGAGCTTCATGACCGTATCTTCAAGTTCCAAGAAAGATATGTCGTCGCGTACGAAAATAACTCTGACATTCTTTTCATCTTCATTCACATATTTCCACGTCCAAGTGCCATCCGTATTATTTTTAAACTCAAGATAGTAGCATACTTGTATCCACACCATCTTTGCAAAAATCAATATCTACAAGAAAAAAAAAATGTTACTTAGACAAGATAATTGTGGAAACACATGTTACTAAATTAGGAGATAATATACAATGCTCTTATGCTCTAAAAAAATGGAAGATAAAACGTGAATGCCAAAAAAAACATGAAAACCAAAATGCATATCAAAGTATAATAACGAAACTACATTCGGATATGTCATAACGAAACTCATTGGGATATTTGTAATGTCATAATCAAAGTATAATAACGCAAAACTACATTAGGTATGTCATAACGAAATTATATTCCTTATGAAATAACATCAAATAACGGATCTGCATTCTCTATGAAATAATTAGACAACAAATCTACATTCGATATGAGATTATCTTCAGATAACAAATATATATTCGTTATGAAACCAAATAACGACTGTACAATCGTTATGAAACCAAATAACGACTGTACAATCGTTATATAAAAAAAAAACTCAATGCCACAAAAACATGATAAATATGAAACTAACATGTTTATCAATCATAAAAAAATAAAACAAAATGCTTTATCTCTAAACTAACAACAAACCCTAACATTTGTAATTGTTCATCTTCCACCATCACCACATTTTTTTTTTTTTTTTTTTGCAATATGGAATTCAAAGTTTATTTGTAATGGTCATATTTTGTTCTCACCTTTTCAAGAGAAGATAGGATGGAGTGAAAGAGGACAGAGCGAGAGAGAACGAGAGAGAAGAGCAGAGAGCGCGAGAGAGATGCAGAGCACGATCAAAATCAAAATTTCTTTCTTTTTTTTTATTTTCTTTTTATTACAAAG